TTTCACCAAATGCTCACTAGATTTGATAAACTCCTGTGTTCTTTGTAAACTTGAATTTTTTGAGACTATAAGAATTAATAAGTCAAAGAGACTTTCCTCATTGTAATAATTAATTGGACCATTTAGGCGAGGCAGAAATTGGAAATATCTATAGATTGCATGATTTAGCAATTAAAACCTTATAAACAGAAAAAATAATCAACTGTAAATAGTTGGTAAATTTAAGGTAGAAATTATTTCTATCAAGTCCTTTGGATTTCTCTAAATCCTAAAACACTCTAGTAAAATCTAAAAATCAGACAGCTTCTGAGTTCATGTTTTGATATACAAGTTTTTTTATTTTCAGAGGTTTTTACTTTTCTTTGCAAACAGAGCTGTTATTAAACTGACAGTATGTATTGGTTGATACTTTCATAGTTATAGCTTTTTTGTTCTATAGTTTTATAGAATAGTCTGTATGGATCATCTTAGTGCAGTTTATGTGTGCTCTTTTCTTACTGATGTCTTGCAATATATAGCTTTGCATACCCAATTTTATGATTTAAACAACCTACCTGATTCTATTTCTTGGCTAGAGACCAATTAAATAACCACTGATGCAAGCAGTTACTACCTGCCTAAAATGAAATCTGTGGTTTCCTTCTTTAAATTGCTGAGTTTTAATGTCCATCAAAAGGCTGCTATTGCAATGAATAATTTAGCTATTTCAGTCTACTACACATTTTAGTACTACATGCATGGATTTAAATCTGCAAAAATATGTCCAAAGTCTTTCAGTGCCCCAAAGACTAGAATGATCCGTATTATAAGACAAATTTATGCGTTGCTATATTTACTATTTAAAAGCACATGCCTAATGGTAAATCACTTATGATTACTTACAGAAGGAAGAAGGATGTATCAAATTATCCAAAGGAGTTAGAGGAATCTTTGATCACACACAAAATACCTGCACCTGTATAAGAGGGTCTGGAAGGGAAGCTTCCCCAAAAGGATGAAAGGTCAGTGCATTTGGAGAAGTAGGGTGTCATTTCCTTCATTTGTCCCTTGGTGGAGTTCTTGAGTCACTTTCTCCCTTTCCTTCGAACTGCTTTACATTTCTACCCAGAACTGGCTATCGCGTTTACTGTATTTAACCTTTTTCTCTTATTATTGTGAATAACAGAGCTACTATTATAAATGAAAGTCCACCCCCATCGGACCGCTAGTACCCACTTCTTTGTATGCTTACCACAAACTTTTGTTTTCCTTACTTTTCTTCTTAAGGCTTAGTCTACATCACGGACACGGAATGCTATTTTTTTCTGCTCAGTCACCTAAATTCTTAACTGTAAAGCAATTTTAAGAAAAAAAAAATTATCTGATAGGATTTTTTAAGAGAAAAAGTACTTAAATTGTAAGCTTTTGGGACGTTTGGCAAAGAAAAGAGGTCTAGCTTTTATTAATCATAGAATAATATCCATTTTAATCAATTTCATCTTAGTGTCTATATTTTATATGTAGATTTATCATAGGACGTTCTTTTCAAAAGACCAACAAAGAAAAAAAAACACACAGAAATTGCAAACATTTCTACATTCCTTCAAATAATTTTCTTCCTACTTGGGAATACTGATCAACGCAGGTTTCAGAACACTGAACTACTTTTCCGTTTTGGCTACCAGCGAAGCAGCAGCCGCGGCGGCGGCGACTGTGGCGAGCACTTCAATTTCTTTCAGCGGGTTACACTTTTTGATCCCATTTCCTCCCGAACCTTGCTTCTCTGGTTAAGGATATAAACGCAGCCCCGGGTTTTAGAGACCGGGCGGGGTTTGAGAGTGGGAGAGAGGCCGGATATCATATTCCCCTGGTGAGGTCTGGGGCTGGAGGGATTAAGTCCCTGGGTTCCATTTAATGAAATTGCCGAGCACTTGTGACACTGGCACCAAGACTGCGGAAATGGGGCGGGGGTGGAGGAAACTGCTGTTCTCCTCCATTCACCCCGCGCACCGGCTGGGGGCTGGAGTGAGTGTCAGCGCCCTGACTAGAGGCGGAAGAGGATTGGGCGCTGCAGCCGCCTCCAGGGCCCGGGTCGCCTCCCCCGCACTCTCTCTAGGCTCTCTCGGTTCCCTTCCCCACGAACCCCGCCACCTGGCAAAAGAGCTGCCACTTCTTGGTTGCTCTGGCGGAAAGGTCGAAGCTAGCGACCGATGGGGGAGGGAGCAAGCTAGGTTTCCCGGCCGGGCAGCCTGGCCCAGCTGTTCTCCATGCAACACACGTCGGACCCATTTCCCACGCTGGCTTGGCTCCTCGGCGCAGTCGGTGGGGATGAGTAGGGAGGGCAGGTTGGAGGCTACTTCCCGTTCGCAGAGAAAACCACTCCACTGTGAAGGACGCGCTGAACGCCGCCCCCCCCCCCTCCCGAACCCCCCCCCCCCCCCCCCGAGCCATTCACCCCAGTCTTGGGGAAGAAATGTGCGATTAGCTAGAGAAAAGCCGACCACCAAGTGCGTGCTGGGCCAGTGAGCGCGAATGGAAGATGCGTGACAACCGAGAGGGGTTTGTTCAAGTTTATGATCTGGGGATGGCAGAGGCCGGGCGCGATGTCTCAGCCCACGCTACTGCCTGAAGTTTTCAAAATCTTAGGGGATGAGGGGAGAGTGCGCGCCACCGCATAGCTGCGCACCGAAATGCAGGGCGCAAAGCCTCTCTGTGGAGATGCCTTCCCTCTTCCCTTTACTGAGCGGGATCAGGAGAAAGCAGGCATTCGGATAAGTCCCTTTTCTTTTAAACGTAAGGGGGACGCGGCATTACTGCCACTTCGCCGGCCGTTAGGCGCTGCGGCGCCAGCCCCCGCCTCCAGACTGCGGCGATGCCTACTGAGCCTGCGCGTCGGTATTTCTCGCTGATGCTGCAGATACCAAGCTGAGAGTAGCTCCGGTGGTGGCCTCGGGAGGGTTACGGGGAAGGCCGCTCTATTCTCGGAGGAGGAGCCACCCCTCCCGGAAAGATGCTGCTTTATTCGACAGGAAAATATTCTTCAGCTCCCTGGCACATTCTACACACAGATCCATCCTCCGCGCTTCTACGGTCACCCACGGGGAGAGCTTGGAAACCATCGTAGCTTCCCCCATCCCACCTCGCTGGGCCGGCCCAAACAACCGCACGCTTTCTCGGCTCCTACACTCTATTGGTATTTGTCGTCTTTAAATCATTTTGCCACCCCGCCCCCCCGACCAACCCTGTTCTCATAAAGGGAAATACTGGTGTGAACATTCTGCGGCGAGTTTTTTTTTTTTTGTTTTTTTTTTTTTGTCTTAAATTTGTCTTTAAGGGGAGACTTTTAAAATCCCGTAGACTAATGCCGGCAACACCCCTTTTTCATAGAGATCATAAGGACACTCCCCAAATACCTACCAGCCTCACCCTTCTTAGAGTCTTGCGTGGGGGAGGGGCTCTTTAACTGCTCTAAAATAAATGAGTAAGTGGCTTCTGTTTCGTGCACGACCAGACCTGACATCTGACTATGGAGACTGTGGTGGTCTTGACCGAGAACTGGGGACGATCAAGAGACACAAAGTAAAAAGGAGAGGAAAGACGCTAAACATACTTGGTACACAAAGTTACCATTAAAGTTTATTTCCCTTATATCCAGATAGGTGACGCTACACTTTGCCAGTTACTAGAGGGTGCAGGTTTCTGCTCAGAAAATAATATCTAGGCTTCTAACATGTGTTTTATTCCCCAGACGCTAGCACACACAGTCTGTTCCCAATGCTAGCGGGATGTCAGGAATTCCAGGCATTTAAACAAAGGCAGGCATCCCTCCCCCCGCCCCATGCCCGACCTCCAAAGTCTGCGCTCCAAAAAAGGATCCACTCGGGTTCTCACAGGAGTTTGATGTTCTCTCTTCACTACTGCAGTCAGTCATGGTTTTGCAAAACACAATCCTGGCTTTCTGGACGCGCAGTCCCCAGCCTAACGGGAACCGTGCACTAACCCAGATGCTAGATTGCTAAGAGGAGACAAGGACCTGGGGTGTGTGTGTGGGGGGGGGGGATTGAGTGAGTAAACGGTGGACAAAGGAGAAAGGTACACTAGCACCCTCTCTAAAGCTCTTACACTTGCGGCGGGATTTAATGAAGAGAAAATCTACGGGCTGGAGACAGGGAAAGCAGCCACCCCCGTCCCCAAACCGCGGAGGTACCGGCGAGGCGGGGGAGGGGAAGAGGACTAGGCTTTGGCTTAAAGTGGCTGAGATTGGGCAGTCCCCAAACGGCCCCGGGAGCTGAAGCTGGGCATCTCCGAGAGCGGCGGCAAGCTGGTGCTCCCTCCCGCCTCCCTTCCCTGTCCCCCCCCCCCCCTCCTCAGCAAGCTTGTAGTTTCGGTGGCTGGCCTGCAGCCGCCGCCGCCGCTGCAGCGTCGGGGACAAGTCTGAGGCGGGAGCCTATGAGCAACCATCACTTTGGGCAAACTTGCGGGTTTCCGGCTTGCGGATTGCACAAGTAGGAGCTTCCCTCTTGCGGTTCTGGGTCTCGGAACCGTGACAGCCGGGGAGGCAGCGGGAGCGCGCGCACCAGACTACCAGACGGGAAAGCGGACCAGACAACTGCGGAATTCACCAGCCTTGCTAGGGCACTTCCGAGACAACAGCCGACTGGCACTTTTTCTCCCTTTGGCAAACTAGATTTTTTTTTTTTTTAAGCTACTTGGCAGCTCTCTGTGACTCCACCTCCCCCATCACCCCCGCCTCAGCGCCTTTGGCTTTTCTTTGGAAATCCGGGCAGAATTGGGCATCTTTGTTAATTGCCATTAAGGGAGCCCGTCCGTGCGCTTTCTGGGGGCCAATGTCTCCGGTGCACTGAACGTGGCTGGCCCACCTTTGAACTGCAAAGGCATCAAGTTCAGCCCGAGTTCCCTGCATAGGGACTGGAAGAAGCTGAGAGACCGTGCAGGAGAGCAAGTGACAGAGAGGGGAAAGGGGAAAGGAGGGGAGGGAGGAGAGAGGAGAAGGGGAGGGAAGAGAGAAAGAGGGAGGGAGGGGAGGGATCGAGAGAGAGAGCGGGGAGAGAGAGGCTGCAATCTCCTCCCTGAAACGCGCACAGCGCTGCAGATCCCTCTGCTCCAACACGCGGGCCGAATGCAGGTGAGGGAAGGCACGGACTCTGCGGCGGAGAATCCAAACTTGGGCACCGCGCGCTGCGCAAGGTTCGGCCCTCGCCCCCGCAGGCGAATGGTGACTGCGGTTTCAGGCGGCGGCTTCGTGACTAATGACCTTGCGCAGAGTTGTTAAGGAAAAAAGAGAAACCCGAGCTCTCAGGGGTGAGAAGCGACCGACTCCGGGTGGCTCTGAAGATGGCTCGAGCTGCTCTTTGGCGCGCCGGGGGTACCCGGACGCGGACCGCGCTGTGACTCGAGGAGTCTCCACCGCATGGTGCTTAGAGCGACCCGCGGGCTGGTTTTCATTCAAGATCTGTAGACTGGTTTCCCTGCTGCTCGAGAGGAGTCAGAGTTGAGACTGGCTTGTTACCGGCCCCTGAGAGAGCCTCGTGCAGGAAGCCACTCACGTTCGTCTGGACAGCCGGAGCCGGAACTGAGGCTGGGCTGGAGTAAGTGGCTGGAACGTGAATTGGACTCAACTCGAGGAGCAGCGAGGACCCGCGGGGCTGGCGGGCACAGGAGGCTGCAAGTCGGCTCCGCGCCGCTTCCCGGCTCTACCGGCCGCTTGCCGAAGCGTTTCTGGTCCCTTCCTAGAGCTCGGGGACCGGGTTTTAGGCTCTTCTTCCCGCTGCGGGGATGACTTTGGAGAGGGCGCCGAGCCGGTAGGGCGCAGTGTCCCGTGAACTGTGAGTACTGCGACTGAACGGTGGCCGGAGACCGGGCGATTAGCACCCATTGCATGAATTATGAAACAATAACTTTCGGAAGAAGCAGGAGGAGGAAAAAAGAAGCATCTATAACTGCCCCCCTCCCATCGGCCGGCTCTTCACGCTGCTCTGGCCCCCTCCCTCCCCTCCCTCCTGTTTCTTCCTTTCCCCGAGAGGGGACTGAGGAGAGGGCAGGCGGCCAACCCCGAAGGAGGGGGGCGTCTAGGGGGTTGTGGTTAGAAGGAGCAGTAGCAGCAGCAGCAAGAGAAGATGCTGAGGATGCGGACGACCGGATGGGCGCGCGGCTGGTGCTCGGGCTGTTGCCTCCTTCTGCCGCTCTGCCTCAGCCTGGCCGCCGCCAAGCAGCTGCTCCGGTACCGGCTGGCCGAGGAGGGCCCCGCCGACGTGCGGATCGGCAATGTGGCCTCAGACCTGGGCATCGTGACCGGCTCGGGCGAGGTGACTTTCAGCCTTGAGTCTGGCTCCGAGTACCTGAAGATCGACAACCTCACCGGCGAGCTGAGCACCAGCGAGCGGCGCATTGACCGCGAGAAGCTGCCCCAGTGTCAGATGATCTTCGACGAGAACGAGTGTTTCCTGGACTTCGAGGTGTCGGTGATCGGGCCCTCGCAGAGCTGGGTGGACCTGTTCGAGGGTCGGGTCATCGTGCTGGACATTAACGACAACACGCCCACCTTCCCGTCGCCCGTGCTCACACTCACGGTGGAGGAGAACCGGCCTGTGGGCACGCTCTACCTGCTGCCCACCGCCACGGATCGTGACTTCGGCCGGAACGGCATCGAGCGCTACGAGCTGCTCCAGGAGCCCGGGGGCGGCGGCGGCGGCGGCGGCGAGGGACGGCGCTCGGGGCCGGCGGACAGCGCCCCCTACGCCGGGGGCGGCGGGAACAGCGCTAGCGGCGGCCCAGGAGGCTCCAAGCGGAGGCTGGACGCGCCTGAGGGTGGCGACGGGACCACCCCGGGTGGCCGGAGCAGCGTGTTCGAGCTGCAAGTGGCGGACACCCCAGACGGCGAGAAACAACCGCAGCTGATCGTGAAGGGGGCGCTGGACCGCGAGCAGCGAGACTCCTACGAGCTGACCCTCCGAGTGCGCGACGGGGGCGACCCACCTCGATCCTCGCAGGCCATCTTGCGGGTGCTCATCACCGACGTGAACGACAACAGCCCCCGCTTCGAGAAGAGTGTGTATGAGGCTGACCTGGCTGAGAACAGCGCTCCAGGCACCCCCATCCTGCAGCTGCGCGCGGCCGATTTGGATGTGGGGGTCAATGGACAGATTGAGTATGTATTTGGGGCTGCCACCGAGTCAGTAAGGCGGCTACTGCGCCTCGACGAAACGAGCGGGTGGCTTAGTGTCTTGCACCGAATCGACCGTGAGGAGGTGAACCAGCTGCGATTCACAGTCATGGCCCGTGACCGCGGCCAGCCCCCCAAGACCGACAAGGCCACGGTGGTCCTCAACATCAAAGACGAAAACGACAATGTGCCCTCCATAGAAATCCGAAAGATTGGGCGCATCCCACTTAAAGACGGAGTGGCCAACGTGGCCGAGGATGTCCTAGTGGACACCCCCATTGCCCTGGTGCAGGTGTCGGATAGAGACCAAGGCGAGAACGGAGTAGTCACCTGCACTGTAGTGGGGGATGTGCCTTTCCAGCTTAAGCCAGCCAGTGACACAGAGGGCGACCAGAACAAGAAAAAGTACTTCCTGCACACTTCGGCCCCTCTGGACTACGAGACCACCAGGGAGTTCAACGTGGTCATAGTGGCTGTGGACTCAGGCAGCCCCAGCCTCTCCAGCAACAATTCCTTGATAGTCAAGGTGGGAGATACCAACGACAACCCTCCGGTGTTTGGTCAGTCAGTGGTGGAGGTTTACTTCCCAGAGAATAACATCCCCGGTGAGAGGGTAGCCACAGTGCTGGCTACAGACGCCGACAGCGGGAAGAACGCAGAGATAGCCTACTCGCTAGACTCCTCCGTGATGGGGACTTTTGCTGTCGATCCCGATTCTGGGGACATCCTGGTCAATACGGTGCTGGACCGGGAGCAGACTGACAGGTATGAGTTTAAAGTTAACGCCAAAGACAAAGGCATTCCTGTGCTGCAGGGCAGCACCACGGTGATCGTGCAGGTGGCAGATAAGAATGACAATGACCCTAAGTTTATGCAGGACGTCTTTACCTTTTATGTGAAGGAAAACTTGCAACCCAACAGCCCCGTGGGAATGGTCACTGTGATGGATGCCGACAAGGGCCGGAATGCAGAGATGAGCCTGTACATAGAGGAGAACAGTAACATTTTTTCCATTGAAAATGATACAGGGACCATTTACTCTACAATGTCTTTTGACCGGGAACATCAAACTACATACACTTTCAGAGTGAAGGCTGTGGATGGGGGAGATCCTCCCAGATCTGCCACAGCCACAGTCTCTCTGTTTGTGATGGATGAAAATGACAATGCTCCCACAGTTACCCTTCCCAGAAACATTTCCTACACTTTACTGCCACCTTCAAGTAATGTCAGGACAGTAGTAGCTACAGTGTTGGCCACAGACAGTGATGATGGCATCAATGCAGACTTGAACTACAGCATTGTGGGAGGGAATCCCTTCAAGCTGTTTGAGATTGATTCCACCAGTGGTGTGGTTTCCTTAGTGGGAAAACTTACCCAAAAGCACTATGGCTTGCACAGGTTGGTGGTGCAAGTGAATGACAGTGGGCAGCCTTCCCAGTCCACTACGACTTTGGTGCATGTATTTGTCAATGAAAGTGTTTCTAATGCAACTGTGATTGACTCTCAGATAGTCAGAAGTTTGCACACCCCGCTCACCCAGGATATAGCTGGTGACCCAAGCTATGAAATTAGCAAACAGAGGCTCAGTATTGTCATTGGAGTGGTTGCTGGCATTATGACAGTGATTCTAATCATTTTAATTGTTGTGATGGCAAGGTACTGTAGGTCCAAAAATAAAAATGGCTATGAAGCTGGCAAGAAAGATCATGAAGACTTTTTTACACCCCAACAGCACGACAAATCTAAAAAGCCTAAAAAAGACAAGAAAAACAAAAAATCTAAGCAGGCTCTCTACAGCAGCATTGTCACCGTCGAAGCTTCTAAACCAAATGGACAGAGGTATGATAGTGTGGATGAGAAGCTGTCAGACAGCCCAAGCATGGGGCGATATCGATCTGTTAATGGTGGGCCTGGCAGTCCCGACCTGGCAAGGCATTACAAATCCAGTTCTCCATTGCCTACTGTCCAGCTTCACCCCCAGTCACCAACTGCAGGGAAAAAACACCAGGCTGTACAAGATCTACCACCAGCCAACACATTTGTGGGAGCAGGAGACAACATTTCCATTGGATCAGATCACTGCTCTGAGTACAGCTGTCAAACCAATAACAAGTACAGCAAACAGGTAAGATGTATCCCAATACATTCGCATATTCCAGAGAGGGCCTCTGAAACAGAACAGCTTGTGTAGAGTTGGATCTTTCCTTTCTAAAAGTTCTGGTTTATGCTTTAATACCAGGAGTTTAATGTTGATTTGTGTTCCATTAGTGTACCACTAGAGAGGTGTGCCATTGTATTTTGCAAACCAGACCTCTGGCACACTAGGCTTCTAAAGGATGTATTCAGAGAGCAGCATTTCGCACTTCTTCTTTGCATTAGACAGTTCTGAATCAACTGCATTTTCTGTTTACAGAATAAATATGTGTATATTGTTTGTAGAGTTCTAAGTAAATAACTTCTAGAGTAACTACTGGTGCTATGTAAATTGGACACAGAGAACTTTTAACTATGAGATGTATCAGGCCGGATTTTCCAAGTAAGCAGATGCTGATCCATACAAATGCAGGGCTAAATGTAAGATACTGAGAAATTGACTGATTTAATGAAAATACTGGCTTAAAAATACTTAACAATAAGCAAGTGTCATGCAAAATCAATTTTCAATTATTTGCATCTATAACAACAGGTGTTTGTGATGAATAGGTTTTTACGCTGATATGTAGTAGCACTTGAATTCGTTTTCAGCATTAAAACCTTATAACAAAATTAAGTTGTATAGGTCATTTGTTAATTAAAGCAAACAATGAAAATGTCAATACTTGTGCAGTCTGTGCAAGACTATTTGAAGATCTTTGGGCATATATTAAAAATACAAAGTTCTATGGATTATTTGACATAGCTATTGGTATAATGTGGAAACAGTAATATACATGTCTACATTTTTTAGAGGAACTTCTGAATATATAAGATTTATTTTTTATAGTTTTGATAGTGTGATGTATATTATGTAGAATTTTATTTTTATTCCCACCAAAGTTTGAGCCACAGCAAATAGAGCTTTCTGGAAGCTACTTACATGTTGCTGTAAGCATTGTTACTAAGCAATATGTTTCTTATTGCCAAAACTCACCTTAAGAATTACATTTATGACTTGTCAAATAAGATAACCTGATATTTTTCTGTTAGATATGCTTTTCATGTAGAATGTGTGATCTGAGAATATTTGAGACAAAGGGAGAAGTTGGTTTATAGCCTTACTCAAGATGTTATACTAATTTCTTATAGTTTTCACCATTATTAAAGTATTTTCTATATATAACATTTTATTGTATTGTGTTTACTTTGGATAAGGAGAAGCAGAGTTAGTGTTCTTTTTAAAATCCAGTATCAAAAGCAATCCAAAACACAGGTTTGAACTACGTTGTATGAAGTGGTTTTTGAAAATGGATCTTTTGATGCATGTAAGCTTGAATTATTTATTTATTTGAAACCACAGTTTGATATTGTGGAGCTTTTATAACTGTTGTGTTATGGCTTTACCTAGAGTTAAAAGCAGATGAGGTCGGGTGGCTTTTAGTGCTTTTATCAGTTTTGTAAACCAGGAAGATTCAGTTAAAATATAGTATTACTTATATATTCACATAAGTAAACTGAAGTCTTGAAATTTCCTTAGAAAATGGTAATACAACAGCAAGAGAATGTGACGATGTCTTAAAGACAGTATTTACTTCTCTATTTTCCTAGCAGTGGTTTTGCCTTATGACTGGAATGGCATTTGCATCCTAAATTGTAAAATTGCATATTTTGAGTGGACATATAAAGTGGCAAATTCACAGCTATTTTATGCAAATACAACATGTGATGTGGTCTATGCTGTTACTTAAGCTTCATTTGACTCATCAGATGGGGTCAGCTTTATATTCTTGGATTTTTAAAACAGCCAGTGTCAAGATTATTGGCATCTTGTTTGAAAGACAAAGTGATACTCTTATAAATAAGCTACTGTATGGTATTGGTCTTTTGACTGAGTAAAGTCCATTTACTAAAGGAGAAAAGCCACAAAGCAAGAGGAATGAATCTCTCAGTTTGCCAAAAATGACTTTAGAAAACTTGCATCTCATTAGGTATTCTGAAGATGTATAACGTTTTAACTACAAGTAAATAGCTGACCTACAGTAAAATAAAAGCAAATGAAACACATTCCCCCTAATGTAATTAGTAATAGTAATTGATATGCTTCATCTGCTTGATATTGCTGTCAGGGGACAAGGGATCCATTTACAAAGTTACATTCTGTCACATCTGACAGGAATAGAATCCCTTTTGATCAGATTTCTGTCTGTATCATAAGTAGTCTTTTTTGTTTGTTTGTTTCTAGTCTTAAAAGATAATTAACATTTAATGTTTATGGAACTTTCAATGTATGTTTCCTTTGATTAAACCTGTTTAAAGAAAAACAACAGCACAGTATTTTGCTATTTCCCACTTTGATAAATGAATTTATCTAAAATTTGAGAGTTTTTTTTTTTTAATTTCTTGGGGATTGATTTAAAAATATGAGAGCCCACTTGATACAAAGCTTTCATTTTAGTTGTACTTTCCCAGAATTGTCTTATTTATAGTTCTTTGTTTATGCTGATAAAATGGAGGTGATGTTTCTTGCAGTGTTAGTTTTGTGAGAACTGGGCATTTTGAAGTGCTTCTTTTAAGTCCTGGTAATGGTATGATACATTGTAATAAGTCAAACACCTTTGTAGAAATGAAAGTTTGTAAATTGTACTTATGCTCCCTCCTCCCCCTTATTTTTGGATTGGTTTTACAGGCTGTGGGGACGTTCAAATTAAGCATCTATTGTTATTTTGACAGACATGTGTTGCTAGAATTACTTCTGAAATACACACATTAGAAAAACTGATGCTGTAACCCAGGTTTTCAGAGTTCAGACATTTGCAATGCAAACAAAATCCTCTGCTGTCAAATGCCTAATATGTTTAGTTGAGCAAAATGTGGCTCACTGGCAGCATTACTGAGATTAAGTGTCTCCCTGGCCATTTCTTCATTTGGTCTGCAAACTTGATCTTGGTGGTTTTGAGATTTGTGACCTAGAAGGACAACTGTGCATTTGTTTTATAAAATAAAGGAAAATGCATTCCACTTATTTTTAAATATGTGCTAAATAATTTCAACATAACTTCAAAAAGTAGTGGTCTATAATAAACAATACCACTTAACTATTCTCAAGCTCTGTTAAGTTTAATACTGACACATAATTTTTTTAAATAATGTATTTACAAGTAAAAATTATTGTATTTCATAAATGGAAAGGTAATTTATTTTTGGCAAGAATTGAGCTTGAATAAACATTCATTTCAAAATCCATTTCTTGTTGATCCCAAAGTATTCAAGAAAAAAATTCATGTTAACTTTTCTGACAGTTTCCCTTCTGCAATGAATTGCTGAATTAGTCTGAATAATGTTTTCCTTAATCGACCAAATTGTGTTCAATAAGTTCATTGAAAAATTAGCTAAAAGAATATAACTGGATCTTTTTTTTAAATGACTTAGATTTTGGAAGCAAATAGGTGACTTTCCATTATGATCACAGTTCTAAGCTTTAAGAAAATTAGATATCAGTTCATTTGTCTTTGTATATACCTATATATGTGTGTGTGTGTGTAGTAATATATTTGTATATAATATATAGTGTGTGTGTATATATATATATATATATATATATTAGTAGTAGTAATATATTTGCACATGATGCTAGCTACACACACACAGATTCCAGTTTAATTCTCCAGGCCAATGTCTGCAAGATGGTTCACCTGGCTATAACCAAGGACTCTTTCAAGAAGCATAATGAATCTGCATATGATATTTCTGTTACATTTGGTGTGATATTATGGTCAGGACCCCAGTAATGAATAAAATGTAGGCCATGTTTTTAAGTGAGAGACATTCTAGTGCAACATTACCTGTATCTTTGAATGACTAAGGCATACAAAAACATCATTCACTGATTTGATCTACAATGGATGTGCAACATTCAAACCATCCATATAGGATAATTCAATATAGGATATAGGATATAGGATATGCCCATATAGGATAATTCAAACCTTCTCCCAAATTTATTCTAAATGAATGACTGGTTTATATAGGTTTCAAAGCCAACTTATATAATGTAGCCTGATAAATACAGCAAAATCATGTGTTGGTTATCTGTTTCTCTTTTCTTAAATGCATGCCATATGTAAAGTACCTAATATATGTAGCACAATCTCTTTCTGTATGCACACAATACAAATGCATAATTGTGTGTACCAACTATGGTGTCAGCTATGGCCTTCTATTTTACAGTGATGCTTATTCACTGATATGTGAATGAATTCTGAACCTTAAACTTACACAAATAAAAATAAAAATACTCTAATCAACAGTTTAGCGTCGGAACCTAAAATCACAAGAGTCATTACATTTTAAAATTAAAAGCTATCAGCTAAGGAATTCTCTCAGTTTATAGCAAAAGAAACTGAGAAGTCTAGACACAGCATGAAAAAGTAATATGACTGGGATCACAAAGTTGTAAGAGTTGTTAACATAGACCAAAGGCCAACTCACTCAATACAGAGCAGCAATGGAGAGCCTGGGGCAGGGGTAGAAACATAAAAACCCTGAATTTCAGTAACCTGTATGTGGATTTCAGTAGTGACTTAAGTCTATCTAGGTTCACTTATGTATTTATTAACAACGTATTTGACAAGAAAGATAAATCTTTTACAATAGAATATAATTCCACCTTGGACTCCAGACCTTATGTGTAAAATTATTGTAGAATTTATAATTCACAATTTACCAATTTTAAATAGAGTTAATAATTACTTCTCACATGTAAAGTAGCAATTGATAATACACTAAACTAAGTTAATATGGCTTTATTTAGCAAGGTTCAACACAATAACTGACATTTTTAATTTTACAGAACAAGAGTAGTCATTAGTTCCAAGACATATTTAGCATTTAGCATATTGTCACTAAAAATTATTTTAATAGAAAGCCATGGGACTGGAGAGATGGCTCAGTGGTTAAGAGCACTGACTGCTCTTGCAGAGGACCTGGGTT